CTGTCAAGCGGTCCTTGCTACATATTAGTTCATGAAAAATCCCCATAGTCAACTGTATTTTTGTGTGACAAACTTAATGAACACATACATAAAAAATAAACCAAATATATCTTCGGTCGTACAGCTAAGAACATGAATTCATTGAAAAGATACTCTTCTCTGAACTACTGGTCTTCTCTCTACTAATGTTCCAATATGGAGTTTTCATGAAATAACAGCTAATTCACGCTTCATTTTACTCCCCCTGATGACTATTTTGAATTAGATATTTTTATGAATTTCATCCCTTTACTGTTGAGTATGAATTTGTGATGCAAAAGATGACGAATGACATTATGTGATAAGGATGCCATAGTGTAGAGTGATAGAACCCAGAATACATGTTGTCATATCACCATGCCCTCTGGATGCCACTGTGACCATTAAAAGTTGCAGTTACCACAAAATTCACATCGCGATGTGCAGATATTCTCTACCACATCAGTAACAAGTGCAACGTAATACACAACTGTGCTTCTGTTTAAAACATTTGTTGAGACAGTGTTCGTGAGGACAAGTATTTTGATGAGGTTTTACTCCTAAACTTCTTCTATATAGCTGAGAAAATGACCTAATACTGAATTGCGATCACCTCTGTCTGGATATCTCAGCTACAAATGGGAATTTCTCTCCACAAAAATATGAAATCTGACGTAGAATATAAAATAATCAGTATGAAGTCATAAGAGCGATTACTCGAAATGTCCTTAACTTTTGGCAGAATGAAATGATCTCACATAATCAGTAAGGTAGACTGGCTATGAAATTCGGACAAAATAAATACTCAGATAACTTCCCAATGTCTGATAGAAGTAATTCATTAGAAAAAAAAGAAATAATCATGTTAAAATGCACTAATTAACTTCTGTAAATTTACAAAACCATAGGAGTTACCCAATCAAGGTTTTCACAATGAAATTGAGAATATGCCAGATGATGTAATCTCTCTGCTTTGTAAATGATTATTCGAAAATGTCAGTGAAATTCACGACAATATGAAGAGAGTCAATCTTATTTGAATAAACAGTGGATAAGTGAAATTCTAACTTCATGGAGTATTGAAATATTTACCAGTATTACCACAGTTTCAAGTGTGTTATAGATAATAACCATTGTCTGGTGACACCGTATTATTAAAGTATGTCCTAATATGAAAGTACTTATATCAGTTTCTTTCGAACTGAGTGAATCTGCCAAAATGAAAAAGTATGTTACCAGCTAAAGATAATGCCACTATCTTATGTGGATTTATATTCTTCTAGAGTGGTCGAATGCTACTCTAACAGTAATAATGCTAATGTTCATTTTGATTTTATAAAACCTAAGTGAGATAAATGAAGTTTGCTGTTGCCTTGCTCAAGTAACTATCTCCAGCTACATTATATGTGTCATCATAGAATGGCTGAATTTATATGAAAAAACAGTCATAATTTTGATTATGTTTTATGGTGGTATCTGAAATACACACTAATAAACTGAATACGTTTACATCCCAATGAGTGACAGTGCTTTCATTCGGAAGTCAAATCTAGTAGCCACTGTTTCAAGCATTAAACATTTTTAACAGGTCATATTCTAACAGGGACTTATGGATTACTACATTCGGATGAAAAAAGCAAAATTACTGTGGTTAACAAACAAAGAATGGAGTATACACTCACAAAGGAGGTGAAATATTAGATTACATAAATGAATTTGTCTATTTCACTAGCTAGTTGTACGGTGTTTTATATTTTTCTTTATCTCACACGTGAATGTTAAGGAGTTATTCATTTTAGAATAACTGCTGTAACACGTCATGCATTTCATGAATAAATTAGTATTCAAAGTGCTTTAATTTTGTTAAAAAGTTAAAAAACACTCATATGGAATGGTGTAATAATTAACACTTCGTATATATATATATATATATATATATAACAGTCCTTGTTTTCTTTTCATAAAGTCAGAGGAGTGATGTGTTGCATTAGATAGAGAATATGAATTTCAGCCAGTTGAATCCTAATTTTAATCCTATTCCACCTTTTTCAGCTTGGATGACTGGAAGCACCAACGGACCCCATACAGTAAGTACGACTTGTTGTGTGGAAGGTGAGAAATCTTTCTCAAGTAACTGAGCTCTCAGCAGATCGACTCATCCTAATTAAGTTTTTCAGAGGTATCTTTTCTGATTATAGGTGTGTATGCTATTCAAATGCTCTGTGGTACTGAATTAAAAAGAAGAGCTTATCTGGTGATACCATTGGTGTATTCATGGCATAAAATTTAAATTTATGGTAAAGTTAGTGAAATGTCTCACAATAGCTTTTCTTTTATGTTTCACCTCCTAAAATTCGCCATCATTCATAAAATTTTGTAGGAAAAATAAAAGTAATTGTAGTGATGCTTTTTTAACTGTGGAACTATCATGAAGATGACCAACCAACAGCAACCAAAGTCAACACCAGTCATCATCAACCGGATCGATCTGATAGAGGTTACTTCCTTCACTTATCTAGGAAGCATAGTTTCAACTAGAGGTGGAACGGATAAAGATGGCAAAGTCAGTATCGGAAAAGCGAGATATGCCTTCATCAACCTGAAACCAGTTAGGAAGTCTTCTGCACTAACTCCGCATAAAGAACAAGATTTGGATTTTCAAGACAAATGTGAATTCAGTCAGTCACTTCTTCTGTATGGGTAAAGCAGATGTTGGTGAAAGTCTGAAACCTGTTGGAAATCCATTCGAGACACGCAGTGCAAGTTTCTGAAATATATGAAGACCGAACAGCCGGCCAAAAAGAGTCAGCAACAAGAAACCCCGGCTGGCAACAAACCAGCCAAGAGCTAATTGCCCAACAAAGATGTAGGAGAAAGTGGAGGTAGATCGGGCACATGTTGAGGAGGCCACCGAATCACATAGAGCGCCAGGCTTTTGAGTGGAATTGAAATGGGAAACGACGAGTGGGTTGCCCTAGGGTGAAATGGAGGAGATCATGTGAAGAAGAGATGAGAAAATATGGGCAATCGTGGATCCAACTGAAGAGGAAGGCAGAAAATAAAACAAAGTGGAGATGTGTTTTTGAAGCTCTATGTTCCATTCAGAAACCAAGGGAATAATAATTATAAAATAAATAATAATAATAGAACTATCATTTATTAATTGAATGGAGGTAGAGGTTTAGTAAATTATCTTGCACTACTCTCTTCTAATGACATTTTATTACATTCTGTGATATTTAGCGGGAAAAAAGCATTTTCCTCTTTTTCCAGGGAACAATGTAGACTTCCTTATAATACAGTCTACGTTTTTCACAGAAACACGAATCCTTATCTTTTAAAATAAATGATTGACAAGTTATATTTATCCTTAAAAGTTTGCTGTGATATACGCATATATAAATAAATATATATGTCAGTATTAACTAGAAAGATTTCTAGTGCGGAATATCCTCTAAATAAATTGACTGTTCACATTGTTTTAGGTCAATTCTTTGCGAATGAATAGAATTCATGACATTATCTTGTTTACCTGTCCATCGACAAAGGTCATTGAGCATATTATATAAAATAAAGGAAAGAGAAATGGCCTTTCCCATGTAAAAGATGCGAGCGTTTTATTTCAAACTTTCTGGTGAATTAAACCAAAATGATATTATTCTAATAAGATTTTATCAGTGAATTCCACGACATGTTATTATGTATGTATGACTAAGCCCAGTGAAACACGCGCTTTCTAGTGATTTGAAGGAGGAAAAATGTGTATAAGAGTCGTTGTTCATAAGAGAATCTACTCAATCCTGGAATTACTGTGACCACTGGTAACATTTATTCGCTATCTGAGATTTCATCGAAACAGTTGCTCGCCTAGTTGAAAAGAGTATCTGAGAATTAACGTATGGTCTTTCATGTTAGGAGCAGAAAGAAAGATTGTACTGAACAAGTGATATACTCCAGGTCGGAATACATGCTAAAACACATATCTGCAATATCTATTATACACTGGTGACCAGTAATATCAATGGTATAAACGTGTATTCTGTGCACAGTGGCATGTTATAGTACGGCATCTTGAAACAATGAATTTTGTTATGACGATTTAATTCTATCCCTTTCACAAATGTAGTTAGTAACTTAACCAATAAGCTTATGTATACTGGATTTATAGGTAAATGAAACTTTCAACACCCAACATCACATGAAGGTTCTGATAAAGTCTTTCTAATGACCATAACTCACAAGTTATAGATATAGGAAAGCATTTTATATTAGCTCGCCCTACTTGGTTTTTCCTTAAGCAACGGACTCACGGTGAATCTATGCCAAAAATGTCAATTCAGCAAAATCTGTTTCGTATACAAATAGTAGCTAATACGTTGTTAACTTTCCCTAGAGGTATCTTTTGAAGTTGGACGCCTTGATTTATAAGACTATTTTGTTAGACTGACTGAAAGCAGATCAACAAATCCGTACTGAATTCACACAGGGAATCAAAACACACCTCCCCTCCCTGTATTTTATTTGGAACATAATCTTGATTAGTTTACACTTCATGATAAAGACATTTTCAAATCTGTCGATTTTCAGTTAGTCTCTAACACACCTGACATTGAATATTCAGGAATAGTAACAGAAGTTGAGGGATTTTAGTCCAAGCTATTGATTTCTATGTTAACAATATATAGCATGTCATGAAATAAAACATGCTCATTAATAATGAATTATTGAACTATTTTGGTTGGTACTCATGTTGTTTACTTTTTTCTGGGTGAAAGCTAGACCTACCGAAATAATATAATTATCTTTAATTCCGTCCCACAGGCATTGTTGATAATTCAGGAATTACCTTATAAATAACATGTTAGATGTGGATACTTGGTTTAAACATATTAACAAAAAACGTCTCTTGTATAATTAAATTCACCGAGAAAATTAAATTCTAACGATAGTTGTAGTAGCAAAAATTGAATATCAAAACTTACGCAATTCTTTTGTCAAAAAATTCACTTTATTACTTGGATCAGACATTCCCAAGAGATTACTGACTGCGCATACTTCTACTGAATACATTGTATACGGTTTTAGATCTGTCAGTTTATACTGTAATGCTCCATGTAGATGAAACTGACGTGCTGGTATATCTGTTAATTGTTTTTTATTTGCAACTGTCTGTGAATTCTCCATTTCTGTTAGAAATAATGTGTACGAATCAACAGTACGTGAAGCAGATTGATGGGAATCCGAAGACTGTTTTGCAGGTAACCACTGTAAAAATGCAAACGTTGGTCCTTTTTCCAAACACACTAAATCCGTTGGAGGTGGAGGGACTTCTGTAAGTAGAAATTTTATAAAGGGTATCCGATTGATAGTTACATTATATGATGTATGATTTTAATTAATAGTATTCAGCAATTTTTAATTAATACATATAAAAGAAGAATTCGTCAGACTGCTATAAGCTCTTTTATGAATATCGCATCATCAAATTATGTATCCAATAACAGTTGAAAAGGTATATAAAATGGTAGCTTTTTTGCGCTTTAATCTCTGGCACAGCTGGTCATATTGATAACCTTCAACTCACACTAAAAACTGTCCGTCATCATTTATCATCTAATGACTTCTCTGTGAGCAAATCTGGTCAGTACAATCTGACAGTAGGTTGAAGGTTATAAAAAGAGTAGTAATGATACCTGGATTAAATAGGAGAGACATATATAAAAGAAAATAGCACACGCCTTATTTAATTTAATTAATTAACAGGCGACCCTATTTACTTTATCATGCTTAGGTTGAAGTTAGGATTTAATTTGCATCACTATTTAACCACAAAACACTTTCTGTATACATTCTTTAAGCAGCCTAGCAGCACATATGTATAAACCCTTTCGTTTGCCGTGAAAACCTATTTCTCTTTTAATTCACACTGTGACAGTTTATTTAAATTTCCATGACGAAACAATGTAAAAGGATGAACAGAAACAACCTTTCGGCTAAGCTGTTTAATAGTATTTTGATAACTGACATTTTTAGCGTAAAATACTAAATGACTGACAGAAATCACCGTGATACCATTGTTATTCAAATGTCTGAATGCTATGAAACAAAAAAGTGATGATATTACTGAAATAAATAGAGTGTTCTATCAAGGTCGGTGGCTCAGGATACTGTTAGCCAGAAATTTTATTAACATAAACATATCTGACCCCTATAACCTTTCTCTACTAACTAATCTGTTGGTGAGCACCTGATTGAGCACTTTAAATTTATTCGGTAGGCTATCTTTAAGAATGCATTGCTATATTTTTCATTACGCTGATTTTAGCAACAAAAAGGCTCGTCATAACTGCGGTTAATCTTAGTCTATTAATCTATATAGGTTTTTTTAGAATGTGAATGTATTAAGTTCTGAAAGCTGTGTTTTTTATTTTAATACTTAGGTAAAATATTTGAATACGATTTCTCTTAAAAATTATCTCGAAATATAATGTGTAAAATGATTAAATTAGAGTGGCACTGACAAGTTTTCAGTAGAGGTGTCATGGAAATTACCAACTATTGTTGTAAACTTGGAAAAGTTTGGTACATGTAAACAAAACTCTTATGTAACTCAGTGCATGAGTGCGCAGTGTTAAGCGTTAATATTAGTGAGTATATTTACAATTGAGTCTAGTAAGCAGTTTCTAGTATTCAATGACTTTTCGACATTTTAACAGTACTACTATGAGCAAAAATCATTGATAAAAAAATTATATTCCTTTTAAAATTTCCTCTAAACTGAATTTCTGGATAATAAAACTCGACAATCAGCATAGTATTTTAAAATTCAGCGAATATGAATTTTTACATGATTTAAAATCACGTTATCACATTTCACAGTAACGCACAAAAACCTAACTTCTTTTGAATTTCAGCACAAAACTATGCATATTTTCTTGCTGAATTGGTAAGTCACCTGAGTGAAAGGAAATTCACACTCGAACCAACATAACTGGGTAGATCACCGCCATTTCGAGAGGAAAGTTAAGTAATTCATTGACTAATTATTAAAATTAATTAGGCACTCATTTTAAAGACCATTGAGTGAAACTTTAATAGAAGATACAATAAAAGTAAGATATACTTCAATTCTACTTGCGTTTATATTTTGTTTTAACCCATCCAATTTCTCGCGCAAAAGACAAACTCTTAGGCTACTAATTCAAGGCAGAATGACTGAATCTGAATTAGTAATCTAGTAAACCATAAACCTTCACAAGTACGATATGTCTTGTAGTGTAATGCATGATTTTGACTTACTTATTCACTTCCGATTGTTTGGTTGTTAAAGAACAGTAGACGTTTTACCATACAACAGAATAACCTATTCAGTTATAGAGAGAGAAAATTTTGTCTTATAACATTAGATAACCACCTCGAGCTCAGTTAGCGGCTGGATAATCTCTATCTCCAGTGCTCTGATGAGAATTTTGTTGCGTCTGTTCTTTTGCACGAAGTTTTTGAGGATTAACGGATGTGAACTATTGCAAATATGTTTCTTTGTAATAGTAACAGTTTTAAATAGGTAAGCTAATCTTCCCATTCTAGATTATTCCAACACTCAAAATATGAGAATTCTAATGCGACTGTATGAAGAAGAACTCAGCTTTCATTTGATATGATGTGGACTATAGTGTGAATGGTTCTTTTCGTAACGATATATTTTTTTTTATCTAACAATTGAATTTTGTGACAATAATTTTCTGAACTACATCCAGTCACACAATTATTTTCTTTCAGAGGCTAAATAATAGCAACAACAACAGACAACAATCAGCATAAGTGGGAAGAACCTGAAAGAAACAGCCTCCTTCACCTACCTGGGAAGCATCGTCTCAACTACAGGCGGAACTGGCGAGGATATCAAAGCCAGAATCGGAAAAGCAAGACAAGCTTTCATTACTCTCAAATCTGTGTGGAGGTCAACAGCACTCACCATCAAAAATAAGATCCGGATTTTCAACTCCAATGTGAAGTCAGTGCTACTATACGGATCAGAGACTTGGCGAGTCATAAAGAGCATCTCAAACAAACTTCAGACCTTCATTAACAACTGTCTCCGCTCAATACTCAAGATCAGATGGCCAGAAAAGATCAGCAACAGGGATCTCTGGCAATGAGCGAACCACCCCAGCAGGAACCGATTGTGAAACAAATAGGCAGGAAGAAATGGAGATGAATTGGCTGGCCATACTCTGAGGAAACCATCAAGTGACATCACTAGACAAGCCATTGCTCGAGTGGAACCCGAAAGGGAGGCGGCGAGTTGGTCGTCATTGCGAGGGTGACTTGGAGGAGGTCATGCGAGGAGGAGATGAAAGCATGTGGACAGACCTGGAGCAGGGTGAAAAAGTTGTCAGAAAACCGAAAGCAATGAAGGTGCGCAGCTGAAGCCCAATGTTCCTCTAGGAACTAAAGGATACAATAATAATACTGACCCGGTGGGTGCGTACTGTGAAGAGTCTTAAACTAGGACGAAACAGCTCTCCAGTACTCCTAGGTTTTCCAATGGTTCCCTAACCAATATCAGCTCATGATGAAATACTGTAACTTATTGACCCTATTAAGATAATAAACAATTTCATAATATGAATGGCGTAAACTGCAACGAGCAAATTATTCAGTAAGTCTAGGAAGATCTGAAGGTAATAGATTGATTAAGTCGTCCTGTGAACTACCAACATGAGATGAAGAGTCTTCAGCCATTACTAATATTTTCATCCAAAAATTATTTCCACGGAAAAATAAGCAATTGATTTATGATGGCGAAGATGTTATCTAAGCTCACCAATAACCACTACTTAGATTACATTTTATGCTGGCTTTTAAAAAAACTGATTCTAAAACTCTAGAATTTTTTAACAAATATTTTGTCACCGCAACACTTAAATTTCTGACAACTTGAATATTCAGCTAACTGATACAACAGAAATATATTCAGATAACAGAACTAACCAATCACAAAAAATATAGAGATAAAATCGTGCTCAGTGGTAGATTCGACGACAGGCTGACAGTGAAAATCAAGCAGCACTGAACAACTGATAGCGGTTTATAAAGAGGTCTACCTTGGGACTAACCAATCTCACACAGTACCAACTCGGCACAGATGTATTACAATTTGGTGACTGTTTAGATAAAAGAGGATGAAAGAGTATGTTTCAGCTACATTTTTCACCTTTGCAAAAAATAAATGAAGGCATTGAACTCGACGTCATAACCGTTTCTGCTTGCTCTTATCTGATTACTTTATATTTTTTATAAGAGTTACACGAAACTCCATCAGTTATACCTCTGATGAACTGCACTTACCTATTATCTGAACTCTAACAGGATGTTGCACTGTCCCGAGACTATTATTTGCTTCACAGATATATCTAGCAGGTTCTGTTATATCAGCTAAATATAGTATAGAAATGCCTTCCGTATACTCTGTAATAGGACGTTCACCATCAGTTAACCATCTGGTAGTTGATGTTGGGTTTCCTGCAGCTCTACAGGTCAAATTAGCATTGTGCCCAGAACGCACTCCGACTTGATCAACCTTGTCGATTATTTTGGGTACAAAGTAAGTATCTGAAACGAAAAATAACAGATTTAAATCTCTGCTGATCGGTAATAAGTAGTTAGGATAAACATGTTGTGGTATCGACAGAAAATAAGAAAAGCTGGATATTTTAACGATTGGTTTAAAGAAATCATATGGTGATGTTTTTCATGATCATATTGTTTATTCAGACAAGCTGAGCAAGTAAAATGTTACCCTGTTTCGCGCGATTTTATGATTTTCAGGTGAAAATTATAACGAAAGTCCATGAAGAAACACGAAAATATACTCACCTTAAGCCATCACTAAGTGCAATACTTACACACCGGCGATGAAAAATAAAATCTAGTGCATGAAAACATAATTCAAGAACCACAACTTTTGTATACCATGAAATTTGGCTGTACATGTAATAAGGAAAAATTGAAATGACTGCCAGCTAATCAAAATTTGTGGATTAATGCACTTTTAAAATTGCATTTGAAAGCATTCAGCAGAGAACTTACGTTGTTGCAAATAAACATAGCTTAACTAGCTTGAAAGCTTCTGCCACTAACTGCAACGCTTGAGTGATTGTGATGGTGTTATAAATTTCACTTAGGTTTCGTCAATTTACCGGCACCACACGCTGTTATATCACAAGTGTTACTGTCGCAGACTATATCTTTCATTTCAATTATGATACTACAGTTGCCTGTCTTCTAGATAGTGACTATTTCCTTAGTATTGTTTGGCAAAACAGGTACAACTTTCAAAAGTTAATTGAAATGAACGCAGTTAACTGGCCACTCATATTTATCTAATACTATTAGACAATGAATCAAAAGAGACTTCATATTGTACACAAATAACTTACTTTTAACTTTTAAGTAGGCTTTGGAACTTAATACTGATCCAGCTTGATTATGCACCAGACATTCATAGTGTCCTTCATCCGACAGCAGTAAATGCTCGAACAACAGGGAACCAGTGCCTGAAAATAAAGCAGAATTGTTACTGGTAGAGAATAAATAAAAGGATAAGAGGTATCCCAAATAATAAATAAAGGATTAGTAAACCAGCGTATATATTCAGAAATTAAATTAATTATTATTTAAGATAGTCCTCGTTAGTTAACTGCTCCTTTTGACCACAGATCTTAAAGGTGAAATTTAGTAAGAATTTAAATATGTTCACTTCATTTTGAAGCCTATGCTGACGACTTTGTCTAGAAGGAAAACGAAAGCTTTACAGTTAAACTGGCCAGCTCAGATGACACAACAAATCCAAAAATCATCCACCTGAGCTAGAAATCTTCTCTATTATACATATTATTTTTGATAAAAACAACACTTAGCAAACCCACATAGCTAAGATAAATTTAAATCAAAGTTTTGATTGATTAAATTTTCTTCGAGTTTTATTTTAGTACAATCAACAGAGCGATGTTTATTTGCATGGAATGTAATCATGTTGTGATAGGCCTTCAAGTGAACATAGATAAAACAGAGGTAATGAAGATTCCTGGCCAACAGCAACGTCCACAGCGACAACAGACAGGAATCAGCATAAATGGGAGAAATCTGAAAGAAGCGACCTCCATTACCTACCTCAGAAGCATCGTTTCAACTACAGGCGCACGGAACTGACGAGGACATCAAAGCGAAGATCGAGAAAGCAAGGCAAGCTTTCACTACTCTGAAGTCTGTGTGGAGATCAACAGCACTCAGCATCAAAAATACGATCCGGATTTTCAGCTACAATGTGAAGTGAGTTCTACTTAACATACGGATCAGAGACTTGGTGCATCATGAAAAGCACTTCGGATAAATTACAGGCCTTCATCAACAGCTGTCTTCGCACATTACTCAGGATCCTATGGCCGGCCAGAAAAAATAAGCAACAGGGATCTCTGGCAATGAGCGAACCAACCAGGAACCGACTGTGCTATTAATCTGAAAGAAGACATTTGAGGTGGATGGGCTATACTCTGAGAAAATAAACCATCAAGTGACATAACATGCTAGGCCACTGCTCGAGTGAAACCCGAATGGGAAGCGGCGAGTTGGTTGTCAATGCGAGGTTGACGTGGAGGAGGTCATGTGAAGAGGAGATGAAAGCATGTGGGCAGATATGGGGCCAGGTGAATACGTTGGCAGAGAACCGAACGCAATGGAGACGTGCGGCTGAAGTCGTATGTCCCTCTAGGAACCAAAGGAAACAATAACAATATAATAATCACCTTATTGTTAGGCGTGTACAGGTTATGCGATAGTGCATTGACGCAACTGGTGTTTCCCTTTTATGCTATACAGCTTCAGCGTTTTGTTCTCTGCATTAATTATTCATTTGAAGGCAATAGGTTATTTTCATTTCATTTCACCTCTTACACTAGAGTATCTTGGTGTGTATGATTCCAGTTTTCGTAGTTTTTTTATCAGTAGATCATCTTCCTCTCGTCCATTAAATTACACAAATATCTGAATTTAGTAGTGCTTGATGCTGCATTTACCGGACAACTTTAGTTTTGTAATTTCATCGTCACTGTTAGGTATCGATTTTGACAGTTTCAGAGGTATAAAGTAAGTAATGTCAAATTTCAGAAGTCTTCCAGAGATAATTATATCAACACTGTTTTAGTCACTTAGTTTGCATTTCTGTGCTAACCGATATGCTAGATGGAAAACGTTTACTAAATTTTGCGTGTACGACTTTGAGATTAGGCCAGAGTGAACATATTAGGAAGTCAGAGACGTAAAAAAACGCTATTGGTAGTTATTAGTAATTCTGTGCCTTAAGTATAGAGAATCCTGCTGATTGATTCCTAATGACCAGTATAAGTATTCAGTTCATTTATATCTCGACAGAGGAATATGACTGCAAATCTTCCGAGTTCTAAGCAATCAGCAGACTCTTAGGTCTCTGAACAGCAATCAAGTGTGGTATTCTTTAATTTAAGTATCTGATTGAATCCGACAGTCCACCTGTAAAAACTCACATAAGAATCATTCACCTGAATAAATGTGAAATCACTAAAATTCAGAGTTTTTAGAAATTGAGCGGTCTGATGAAAACCTCATTGGTGACTAAATCTATTCACTAAAGAAAGCCTCATTATTTAATGTACTGCATTTGATCTTAAAAAATACTTCTAAGAAAATTAATAAGAAGCTATGCTTGAATCATTATGAGAAACAGGAAATCTTTTACACCTACTGTTGGTATTATCTGTGTAACAAATCATTGGGAATGAAAAATACCGTGTATTGCTGAAATTCAGAATACAGTTAAACAAATATGAACAATAAGTTATGCAGTAGGAGACTACTATAAATAGCCTATTATTAGTACTCTTACTGAACAGGCATTTTACCATTCTTTCAATTTTAATTTACTACATATATCTGCTTCCATAAATGTCGATGTTCACTCACATTATATATATATATATATATATATATATATATATCAATATACTGAATTTTTGTTCTTTTGGCAGACAGAGTGAGAAATAAATTTTGTAACTATCTGGTTTTTTTCATAACTTCCCTCCTCTTCTGTGTTCAGTGAAATCTTAATTAGAAAATTATGTCTCCATGTTGAATTTTAAGTGCCACTGCATATGTTTAGTCAGATAAGGTGATATAATCAGTTCCACTGTTCCACACAGTAGACAGAAAGATTTAGATTATTATGTGATGTTTCATGTTTACGTGGAGAGAATTTAATATGAAGGAAATAATAAAAATAACTTGACAAAAGCATAGAAGATTCAAAATGATTCAACCCAAAATAATTAGTCCAGAGGAAGAACTTAACAGTCACGGCAATTGGTTACAAGATTTCATCATGAACTGATATTGGTTAGAGAACCATTGGAGAACCTGGGAGTAATGGGCAGCTGTTTCGTTCTAGTTTAGGACCCTTCTCCAGATTCGAACCCAGGACCTTTCGGTTACAAGGTGAGCTCGTATACCATTAAGCCACCGGGACCCGATTCAATGGCCTATGAATTCTAACTTCTGCCAATACACGACGTAGCGCAACCCCTAGCCAATATCTTTGGCAAGTATTTGTCCTTACACCCGACCTGCTGCACCCTACTGATTAAGGCAATTCTTTCCTTTAGTTATAATATAACTGTACAACTGTGAATTACTTGACTACCTAAGAATCTAAATGAACATAAACTGAAAAGTATTAGTTTAGTGATCACTTCAAACTTCCTCTTATACTTTTACAGTGATTGCGGAAAACTAGCAATTATTTAAGTCTCTGAGTGAATATTATAATCCTGGACAATGACTGGATATTCAGTAAAATGTAATGAATCAGTCAACCCGTTTTTGGACTTCTTCTAACTGAGAAGCAGCTCTTTAGAAATTTAAAACGCGCATTAAAACATACATTGATTCATTCTATCTCAAGAGGCTGGGGGTTACAGTTTGGTCCTTCATTGGCAAGATGTTGACCACATGCGTGAATCATAATTTTTGAAAAATGATCCATGTATCCATTTTTATGGCGGGGCGGGGGGAATATTCACATTTGATAAAGTATAAAATGCTGTTAAATTATTTACTACAATTTTAGGAACAGTTTACAGCTTAAGGTAACATCACCAAAAACGTGCGATTTGTCTAACTCAGTATTTTATGATCCAGTAGCTCATCATTGCTTTGTATAATATTGATGAAAATTATCAGACCTTGAAAATAGGCATTTCGTTGTCATGCATCGATTCGCCCAATTTTCAAGGATGAACAGACATGTCTTTCCGCTTTTTTAAACAGTCCCATTGTCTGATTGTACCACCCCAATTCAGTCTTTCTGAATGAAGTCACCGAAGTCATCAGTGCAAGTGAATCCAACTTTATTAAGAGTGATAAATTATGAAAAACGTTTTTGAAGAAAACCTTGACTACTTCTTACATACAGAGACATGGTATCTTAAGACAAAATGGAACTTAGTCACTTTAGGTGTCATTTAACCAAATATTATCTGATTCCTAGTAATAACAATCTTCATTTTCAAAAGCTAGTTTGTAGGATATGTGTAAAACTTGAGCACTGTGTTAGAGCTTAACTCGATTATGGATACGATTTTATTTTGATAAATCACATGCTCTTTTGCAGTACTATTAACTGATGACTTTTCGAGTACAAGTTATTGCTCATAATCATATCGAGTTTCACCACGGATTAAAATAAGTTAAAGAACCATTGAAAACCAAGGAGGACTGGATAGCTGTTTTGTTCTCCATCATCTGCTCATTAGTAAGCACCCACCAGAATTCGAACCCATAACCTTCTGATTTCAAGGATAGCTCGTATACCACTCAGCTACTGAAACCCGATTCAACGGCCTATGGATTGCAACTCCCAACAAATCTTAATTTCAGAATGACCACCATCCAATATCATTCCGTTTTCAAACGTCAAACACCTCATATGTCTACAAACCAACTCTTCGAAATTGATGTGATACTTGATAGTGCCTAGCTTCAGGACGAAGTTGTTTGTAGTTCCAGTAGGTATTCGTGTCCATTGGGATCAACCAACCCGGGTGTGAGGACAAATACTCGCCGATAACATTGGTTGGCGGTCGCGCTAAAATTAAGAATTGGTGGAAGTTAGAATTCATGGAACTTTAAATTGGGTCCCAGTAGTTGAGGTGCATACGAACTTTCCTTGAAACCGGAAAGTCATGGATTCGAACCTTGGCTGAGGGAGTACTGATGAAGAGTTCCAACCGAGGATGAAACAGCTGTCCGTAACTCTCTGGCTTCCAATCTTTCTCTAACTGAAATAAGCTTTATTTATCTCAGCACTTTCATTTATAATCGGAGTAATATTATCAGTGAGTTTGTATTTAAATAACATTTATACAACATAATATAAATTGATTGAAGTGAAAGATTTCCTTTTATCCTAAATGGAAATAAAATATAAATCACCTAGTTTTATCTCATGAACTAGGTGATAAATAACAAAATTAATTTTAACATAGGACAGGATATATGAGTTCATCATTTTCTAATAAATATATTCACGTGTGAACCATTGTGATTTTAAGCCTCTGCCGCAACTAACAAAATTTTTTATTGCCTGTTAGCATTCTTTTATTATACTTAAAGGCTCAAAGATAACTTGATAATGTTAAAGTTATTAAACTATTTGTTATTTAAAAGGTGACATAGCTATTTATGAATAAAAATGAGAGAGAGAGATCACTTCCGTTTAAGTTTATAAAATTTCTGCTTAACTTGTGGTTTACATTCACTTGAGTTACTCCCTTCTTCTTTAAACAGCCGAATAGATTCCTCTATATACCTGTCGCTGAAAATAAACCTTAGGACGAATGGTACAGTCTTATTCATATGCATATAAATGCTTGTATATGCACATAATACTTTCTAAGCTTACCGTATAGCTGGAAACGGAAGTTATAAAACTTCATTCCAAAAGACATTCTCTCAACCTGTGTATATCGTTCGAAATTCTGTCAAAAAGTTACTGTGAACGACAATAAATTTTCTTTATATAAACTGGTTTATTAAACAATATGAATTCGCAGTTCAAAACAAGTAGACTAGGTGAACAGGATACAGTATATTTCTTCTCAGTTCTTATTATACAAAATTTTTGAAGGCTCACTTATAATATGTAAAGAACTAAGGATAAAAGGTTTGCAGGCTTCACATATTTATCACAGGCATTTAGGAATTACTGAAACCGATTTTAATTTTAACTCAGTAGACAATGAATATAAGCTGTCAAAATGCAGTGCGTGATGGGGGGATTTCAGCTTCATTCAGTAGTTAATGGTGATATATAGAAGCGATCGAGCGTTATGCGAAGCCATTTGAGAGAAAAAAAATAAACTAGAAATTAGTTGTCACTGATAAGAGTTCAGTGTTATCAGCTTTTGGTGTAATGTTTTCAAATAGCAAGGTACTATGTGTATTGATTTCGAAGAATTTTTACTTCATGTTATAGAGGAAAGTAACATTAGTAAGCAAGATTTAATCTTGACATGTATATTTAATGTGAGATTTGTAGTTTTTATCACTTTTACGGTCAGTTGTTACTATTTACTTTGACAGATAATATTATCAGTTAGACTGGGTAGTTAATGATGACACTTACCATTCTGCAGAGTTGATGCCCGTCCCACTTGCCGAATGGTTAACTAGCTTACCTCGTAAACTTAAGGTCCTGGGTTGGATATCCAGTGGGCCCATATCTTCATGATGCTGGAATACCAAATCCATGAGAAAGTGCTGTTCACTACTCCCTGATAACAAAGGTTTTTCAACTTGTGTCAATCTGTGATTTAAATTGAAATAAAAATCCTACTTGGATCTTTGAAATGACTAAATCCTGCCTTTATTCTAACTGCAAACGTTGAGATGAAAGGGAAATGTTTTCAGAGACTATGTTCTTGAAACTACAGATGACTAGTGTTTTCCTTGAGGGTCACAAGTCAAATGATGATAACTTATCAATTACCTCAATATATGATAGAGTGATAGGGACTTTCCTTGTGGAGATGATTAATTCAATCGTTTTGGTAGATTTCTAGCATAAATGAAATGAATTCAAAGGCTCGTTCCTTGAGAACAGTATTGTTTATACCACCATCTAGGCTTACTGTAGAAGGATTGTTTTCTACCTTGAAGCTATTTAAAGCTGTTTAAAAAAAAAGCTTTAATATCGCAGTAAAAGCTTCAGATGTCGTCACAAACAGTCATACTTCAGTCTTCCATCTAATTGATAAAGGTAATAGAACTTATACCATGTCCACCAAGCCAACAATTTCTGAAATAGTCTAACCAACATACATAAATGTGAATTAAAGTATTTGTATATATATATATATATATATATATATATATATATATATATATAACGGTTACCTTCCCAAAGTTATTTATGTTTATGGAATTAAAAGTTTCCTACACTCCAAATTTTTATTTTACCATTTAATGTGGAAAATGACTTTTCTAATAACAAAAGAGATTAGCTTTATCAAAATACTGATATATTCTTAATGAGGAGGAGGCAGTTGCGTGTTTCGATTTTTCTTGACTGTTCCACCTAATTTTCCTCGATTATTTGCTAAAAGCAGACTTGATAGACTCACGTTAAAAAGGATACTGGATAAATATAAGAAAATATAATATAATCACTTTAAAGAGTAAGAAGGTGGAAAGAGTTTGAATTTGGTTCTGTTCTGTTAAGGAGGTTCGCATATCAATGAACTGAATTGTCTTAGGTAGCTGAACACAATACTTATGTTTGCTTGATACCGATATGTGTTCGGTTGGTTGAAACGAGTATTATTCCATCGATTACTACTTCAAATATGCAAAGAATGATAAGAGACCACTTTCGAAATTTGGCTGAAATTAAATAAAGATTTCATGAATAGAAAACACATAAAACGATTTTTTCCAGTAAACGTTTCATTCAGTTTATTTTACCTACCAACAAGTGTTATCCGTTTGTCATTACTTTGAATAGGAATTTCATTTTTTAGCCAAATAACTGACGGCTGAGGATGTCCGGAGACTTCACAGTCCATTCTAGCCACATCACCAACGGCTGCTGAACTAGCCTTCGGTGGTACATGGATAACTGGATAGCCATCAGGTATTCCTAGAATAATAAAAAGAGACTGAACATTTAGTAATGATAACAGAATATAGATAATTATGAGAACTAAGAAGTGGTACCAGATATCATCACACATAGTTCATGTTTATTATGACCAGTCAAGTTTGGCCCCTTTGAGAAAAATCACTCTAGGATGAAACAAAAGTCAACCTATTCGCACCAAAAGTATCCTGAGTGTTGTCCTGATTGATGTTCCTTAGAATGCTGCTGGGGAACCCAGAGGGGTACCACTATCAAAATGTTTGAGCAAAGAAAGTTAGAATATATTTACAGGTTGATGCAGGCTCGTTTTGTTTCCTGAACTCTATTCAACAATATACATTATGAATAGAGTCAAGATACAAGTTACAAAACTTCTAAACGTACATTTTCACAATGACTTCGAGTTATAGATAGAAATTATGGGGAACATAATTCCAAAAATGATGTGAGTAGACAAATTATTCAGTGTTCAAAGACCAACTATTTATAATATCATTAGACGAGGTAGAGGGTAGAATTCAGATTTCGCTTGAAATCAAAACGGGTAGGTATCATTTTCCGAATACTCCAGAGTAGCTTACAGAAGCCAACAGAGTAGAACAACTGCTGAATACATGGTAAATACGATCTGTCAGTTTGACAAAATACATACAGCCTGCTCTTATAACTCAAAATCACAGTACCTGCTCAGACACTTTGTGACAAATGTATGCATATATATCTACGCTTATGATAATTGAAATGTGATGGAAAACCCTGACTGTTTTTATGCGGAGCTTTTAAAACATAATATCATAAATCAAATCCAATTGTGCGAGCTTTGCAACACCTAATAGGGTATTTACTTTAATTGAGATGAGTTTATATTGGATCTACGCAAGTTTCCACTGAATCAATAGAACTCTAAATAGTTATCTTCAGAACAAACAAGAATGGTGTCACAAAACAATGAAAAAGGCACTTAGAAATATTAACCATGTCCAAATTGTCTGCAATAGAATGTGAACGAATCACTTTCTTCATGCTGAAGTGAAATAACTGACACTGAAACACAATGATACTTTGGGCTTTGTTATTAAAACTCAACGTTTGTGTACTTGAATGCGATTTCAAGTGAATATTTGACTGAGTTGTTGAATCTGTCAAATTTTTTTTTCCTTCACGTTCCCCAGTGGAACATAGGGCTCCTAGCTAGTGGCTTCAAGTTTCTATAGCAGTGTTTAATTTTACAGGATGGGGTTGCTAGACTCATGCCCAAACTTTCCTCTTTACCAGAATTATTTCTGGCTTAGTGAGGTAAAGGAGTGCGTCGGTGGCCAGGGATCGAACCCCGGATCATGTGCATGGTCGGCGAGCTTCTTAACCGCTGTACCACCGACGCAAAGAAAAAGTCACTATTAACATCAAAATGAACATGTGTGGAAATCGCTGAATGATATGAGTGATTTTGGCTTACCTCTAAATTTATTTCTTCGCCTTTCAGAAAAACTGTGTCATTAATCGAATAACTGATTATATGTGCTTAAAACCATTACCTGAAGATCCAAAATAAACAATTAACCAGAGTACTTTGTTCTTTTCAGTTGCTGTCATGGCAAGTTAAGTGATTAAGATCATTTAAGTATCGCTAAATGATAAAGCGTTTTACTGTCCAGACAATAAAGCATATATATATATATGTATATATATATATATATATATATCGAAAAGCCTTATGCTTATATGTAAGATTTAGTGACTTCTGCAGCTACCCTTTTCGATCGAATTTCAAATCGCATCACGTAATCTGCTTTACAGCATAAATGGCAACCAAGGAAACAAGCGAAAATGCATGGTGATATGTACTACTGACTGGTCGACTTAAGTATCTAGATGCTACCCTCATCACCCAGATGGAAAGAATTTCAACAGCAAACAACCTTTTTGCTCGTTTATGGCCAAGCTAATGAACGGTGTACCCAGTTTGATTCAGCTCAGAGAACCAAATCACTTCTTGTTTACCAATTGCAACATCAAGCAAATCACATATTGTGATCTGAATTATTCGAGTTTCCAAAAGCAACTGTCGTAAAATTTCAACTTGGACTGTAAAATTATAGATCACGAATCAATTTACACATTGTAAAATTTGACACAGTGTGGTTAGGCGTAATTCTGCTAGTTTGATTTAACTCAGCTAAATGAGTTCAGTGTGTAGATCACTTCTATCTATTTTTTATTACTTTTATTTTTGATTAAAGCTTGATTCCACACTGTATTTTTGGTACAAGTATGGAATTTTCAGCATGGATATCGGTAGCCCAAATTTTGAAGGCCAAACATAGATATTAGGTATGCGTCGGCAGGGGATCGAACTTCGGACCATGTGCATGGTCGGCGAGAGTTCTAACCACTGTGCCGTCGACGCACTACTGGTTGATGTTAATCATGTCCAAATACTCGTACCAATCAGTGGTATATAGTACACGCTTTGTGTTTTATCTGTCCAGGTAATCGAAATGAATCCATGTTTAGGTCTGTTTATATCATGATATCTGTATTTATTCATCTAAAAGAAACCTTTTCTCCAAAAGTAACTGATATAGTTGTCTGCTGGTTTTCACTATATTTATCAAATTCATATGATTGTCTGGTTATCGTCTTGTGGGAACATTTTGTACGACTTACAACTTTTCTACTGGTTAGTGGTTACTTTAGCATTATGTAACTGAGGTTTGAGCTGAAAAATGAACACGGGTTTTGGAAGATTGCAGACTGGGACTTACTGATAAGTGTCAAAAAGCACGACATGCATATCCAGAGTTTCTAGCCCAGTTACGATGAGTACTTATGCATTACTGTGTCGTAGTACACGTCATAAATGTATTAATCAGGGTTGTAATATTCTGAATATCAGCACTGATTATTCACCTGAGAAAATTTTAACTAACACGATTATCAAAAGCTAATAATCATAACCATTATTGGGAAGAAATTATAAACGGTTTCCAATAATGTAACATGAAAATGAGAAGAATGGACAAAAGTTCCTTCAATCAACTAGACAGACATTATTATTCACATGAAGCACTAATATAATTAATACGTAGTTGATCGTCTCCAAAAATAGACTTTGTTTACAATAAATTTGGTCAGATATTACTCCCATTAGTTACTAAAACTTCCGTTGCATAAGTCTCATAAGTGGCTATTTAAATAACTTAAAAAATTTATCTATTGTCGTTTCGTGGTATACTCCCCAAAATGAAGAAAAGTATATATTCTACAAACATTTAGAATATTAATTTAGTGATTTAAAACTACATTTTTGTAGTAAACCACGAAGTGGTGATAGTCATTCATGTTCATGACTTTTAGGAATGATCAGTAAACCCACTTATAATAATTGAGTATGGAATGTAGACATAAGTGAGAAAAATATCTGACCTTCTGAAATTAGGTGGTGATTTAATTTTACTTATTGAACCCTATTAAAAGGTGTAGTTGCTAGATGCTAAAAGAACTTTCACAGTTATTCTGCTAAGCCATCTAGGTAATAACTGATCCCCTGTAGGATTGTCTAGTGTATCAGCAGTAGTTTTGTGTCATTTAGAATTGTAATCATATTGCACTGGTTATTGATATTCTTTTAAGTGAATTCAATTTGAACGAGACACTAATACTGGTGACGAACAAGCTACCAGTTTGTATCACCACTACCTTATTGCTGTGAGATCATCAGAAGCACGAGTGAAGCAGTAAAAGCTTTCAGCAACATATAAGCTGTTATGCATTTATATACTTTCTGTGTTAGTGTTGACTAGCTTTCCATGGGGAACTAACTGAAAAGATATATGTTTCTTCTTTGAAATTTTTGTTTTTGTAAATATGTAGATGGGAATTTATAGCTTACTGTAAGAGAAATCTGTTATATTTAGTAAACCATCACTCTTGGTTTAGGAAATGTTATTATTATAGTAGGAATAAATTTGAAGACTTTGATATAATGCCGAAGATCAGCAAAACAAGGGGATGCTTTTGATGCTGCTGTGTTCTGTGAATTTAATGGTTTAACTATGACGCTCTCATTCTACTTCCCAACAACACCTTTAGCTCTAGTTTTATTGTATATGGAGCCTTCAGAATTCTTCGTTGACGAAACGTCCATTTTTCTTAGCTGTCCGTACTGTCCTTGGTTGTCCTCAGATGTATATATATCTTTTTGTAACGATATTCACATGTGTTGATACTGGTAAATTCGCTGACCTGGTATGTCTCCTTGTGGTTGTAAAACATTTTTTACTGCGTGGCTATTAAGTGAAAATTAATTTAAGTATCAGGCTTCTAGGAATTCTCTGTCATTCTTTGTATTTCCATTGTCTAAACTTATAAAATTATCTCACTCGATGTGATGCCACAGCCCATGTAAACAACCAAGAACAACATTTACGCTTTCAATGAAAACACATAAATAGCGGTTGACTACGGTTCTATAACTCCTTGTATTGAAACACTTGTATAGAAAACCAAAAATGTGGATAGGGTGGTAAATGTCACAGTCGGCGGTATAAGGCAGTACTGAATGCCTACAGTAAACTGATGGTGTTGATATAACTGAAATTAAAGTGGTTTCTTATATTCAGACGATTTACTAGAAAATTTATGGTTTTCATCGTGTTGCAACAAGATGGTTGGTGAATTCTGCTTAACACATGAAATTTCCTTCCCTTCGAGACATATGAACTTTAGCTTTAAAATTCATCAAGAATTCTAATTTTTTGTAGCAGTTAATTAAAAAGGATTACGTTTTAATTTTTTTTCGCTTGAAATGCACATTGTACTATCTGCTGTAGAGATAACCGAAGTGAACCAGATTAAATGTGTGCACTTTGAAATTCCATGGTCTGTAAAATAATAATCCCTTCAGACTTATTCGGGTAGATCTCTTTCTATTATTTTTGGATTCCCCTTACGTCTGATAAAAAAGTCAGTTCAATTTCAGTTGGTGACACTAATGATCTATATATAGCACTAATCTGAGGCCTTATTCAGTTGAATTGATTTCATTTTTTTTAGTTAAGACTACAGGTATACAAAAATTCGTTTTCAGTCTATGAATTAAGCTAATTTATCCGCTTCATGAATTGTTTCTCAGTAAAAAGCGTTATCAGATAAAAAGGCTAAAAAGTATAACTGAATAGAGAACTGTTTCTGTATTCATTAGAAGCTTTGGTTTTCCCTTTGAATTGACGTTAACGTCATTAAAAGCAAAGTGAATATAAAATATATACAAATAGCAGTAATAGCCATGTATATTGGGAAACAAAGTACTTAAAAGGTATTTAGTGTATCTTTCAGAAATATGTTTGTGTGTATTAACTTACGGTCATTCGTATCGTACACAGTTAAATACGCTGAAGCGCTATCGCCTCCAACATGATTTCTTGTTATGCACTGAACTTGTAAACCATTCTGTCCTCGATGTACTTTGGTTAAGCGTAACAAACTGCCTTCTGGAATATTTAAAACCCCACCAACTCCTGGAGCAGTCCGGCTAACTTGACGATCAAGCAGAAAATTTACTGTAGGGGTTGGATTCCCAGTTACACGGCAGAAGAAGAGTGCTGTTTCTCCGCTTATCACTTTCACATTGCTCGGTGGCTCAATGATTTTGGCTGGACCTGGGAAACAAAAAGATATTTATTGCAGATAGGTTAGCGAAAATTAAATTAAGTAATAATACACTGTATAAATCTCATATTTCTAGTGAATACAGAGAGGAAAATTGTTTGTCTTAGTCAAGAAACAAGTATTTCATTGTTACATTAGTCATTGACCTGTTACTTAAACCAGAAAAAATCGAAATTCCACCAAAAAGCTGCATTTTTTAACAGACATGAGAAAACAGTAGTCGTGTGTCCTTTGAAGTAGATTCTGTCAGCCAGCAAGTAAAAGGGTGATATATTTTTACCAGTGCATGATGATAATTCTTCAAATGCTTAGTCCCCTAAAATGGCTTTACTAGTTTTGAAGTTTTATTTACCCAGCGCTTACGTTGTGTGACCAGATGTCCTAATGTCATGAAAAAAGTCGTAAAATACATGGAATAAAACCAAAAAAGTACTTTTGTTCTACTCATCAGGATAAAAGGACTATAGTAAACAATCTGTGTCATTCTATTGCTTCCGGACTTCTCAAAATTTATTTCAGGTCATTCACAAGCATCAAAGTTTGATAATAATAATAATAATGGGATACTAGCTTTAGTGAAACCTAATAAATTAAACAATTTAATAACATTTCAGTCAGGACGTCAACAGTAGTACGACAGTAACTATTTCAGGAGGTACAGGTGTAATCGGGACAATATATTTCCTTAATAAATGCAAAACACTGCATTGAATTCACCTTTTTTACACTATCAGGTATTAAAACCAAGACGACATCCGTTGAATTGCTCCCGTGCGATAAAGGTATGATCGTTATCCTGCATCAAAGATTATCCTAATTTCAAAAGACAGTAAAACGCTTATAGCATCAAAGTGAGTGAACTGTCTGCTGAACGGTCGTCGGCTATAGAGAACTTCCAGGCTGCACAACACTTGGTTACAATCAAATTTATTGGACGTTGGTCATCAGAACAGTCAAATAAGAATCGGAAACAAAATAAGCCAGGTTTCAGTGAAATAAGTAAGTGGATGATTCCATATTAGTTTGTTTATTAGATGTATTAGATGTATAAATGTATAAGAACACAGATGAATACTGCTCAAGAAAGTACACATTTCAGAATTCGCTACTGGAAATAGGAAAATAATGCAATGAGGCTACTTAGTCCTGGAAATATATTTACCAGCGAAAAACTGAAAAGTGGTGGGTTTTATTTGTAACATGAACACTGCTTTTCACCTTTTTTTGTCTATCAGCTATAATGTAACTCAACACCACAATATCAAGCACCATCAATGAGGAATTCTGAAAAGAGAAACATAATTGTGCCTTTTAAAAATTTCAATAAAGGAAGAAAAGCTGAACGGAATTATACTCTCACGAAATCAGTCAGTTTAGTCATTGAATACGATATGAATTAGCACCATGCACAAAATAAGATTTGAGTAAAAAAGGGAATCAGCCGTTAGGATAACGTATTCATAACAGTTAGTTATCATACATTTTATGTTACTCAACAAAAATCAGAAACCTAAAGGTCAGGAGGTCATCCATAAATGACTGTTATCAACTTGGGCATTGATAACCACCCCTTGAATTTTATTTAAAACTGTTATTATCTGTTGAGTTTAACTTATTTTCAAGTTTATACTTGTTAGTTAGTGTTTCTGCATAACTGTTTTAGACTCCTAATGTTGATACACCGATTATAAGCTAGTAAGCATATTTGTGTTGCTAGACTTTAAGTCTACATTAAATTTCATTGATAATATTTGTTTATCTATTGATTGATTACAGCTTGATTCCACACCGTATTTTTGGTACAAGTATGGAATATTCAGCATGTGATATCAGTAGCTCAAATTTTGCAGGCCGACCATAGATATCAGGTGTGCGTCGGCAGGGGATCTAAATTCGGACCAAGTGCATGGTCGACGAGAGTCCTAACCGCTGTGCCACTGACGCTTGATCGCCATGTCAAGAAATGTTGCCTAGATCATTGAAAGGTCCAAAAGAAACCTCTTGTACTCGCTGACACTCTCAGCACCATCTTATTCAGGGGCGCATGTATATCATGCCAATAAAATATCAATAAACGCAACAGCCTGATGAATATTTTCAACCTCTTAACACCTCTGGTACGCAAAAGCTCATACTATTTACGGGAACAAATTTCCTCGTGGTAGCATTTGACAGATACAAGCAACAGAAAGGTTGACTTAACAGTGGGTGAGTAATGATAAAGAGTCTCAAACTCGGACGAAAAAGTTGCCCAGTACTCCGAGGTTTACCAATGGTTATCTAACTAATTTCAGCTTGTGATCAATCCTCTGACTTAACGAAAACAAAAGCAGATAGTTTTTTCACCTGAGGGACAGCGTTTCAGATTAAATATTGTGTTAAATACTATTTTCAGCTTTCATCACAGAGCCAGATAATACTTTATTGTCATAACAATGTTCTCTAAAAATATTTACGCATTTTATTAGTCTGTATATATTCAGGTTTCTTCTATGCCACTGTAAGCAAACTGATAACAGTGTTTGATCAGGCATTTCGGATTAAATTGCAGTAATAGAGGGTGTGTTTCAGTTATAAACATTTTTCTCATTGCTCCATCAACATCTATTCGAACTAATATTTACTTTAAACTATCTCAACACTATGTTTACACACCTGACAGTAGGTTTGAGAAACTATTTCTAGAGTTTTGTGTCTTTTCTTGTCATTCTCTTTGTTTAATTCAATTTTGTTCTGTTTTTATTGAGCAATATTAATAAATTTTATTTCATTCTCAGATTTTTATTATTAAGACAAATATCCTATTATGTACGAATGATTGATTGTTTCAGCTAGTGGAAAAACACACTGTGTATACAAACAAGTATATAGGTGTGAATATGAAATCTGGTCATTGAATAACTCGCTCACTCATTCATTCACACACACTAACAGACAGCAGTGTAACAATATAAATGAAATTCAATTCCATATATTTACCAGAGAGAATACAAATCCCTTGATTATCTTTCGATCATTGTTTAATTACTCGCAGAAATAGTTTTCCTGGGTGTATAATGCATTTTGAAAATTGGAAATCTAAGAAAATACAAAAATTAGCTGTGTTTATATTGCTTCTACAATTAATGGTAACCAGGTGTGCAATCGACAAGAAACTGCTCTTCCACCATTCCTTACTTATGACTCTGATGATAAAATTTCCACTGATAGAAAATTTATCTTTATAAAATCTAAAAGATTTGCTTGGCAGATTGGTCAGGGGTTATCGAGGAAAACAATTAAGAATAAAATACTGAAGAGGTCAGAACATAAATTTAGAATCCCATTATTCTTAAGCACTTTAATTCATATCTTACGTATGCGAGGATTTCTTTAGTTCGAAGGCAGACAGTAGTTGAATATAATGGTTAGAGTCTGATCTACGGTGCAATCGTTGGTGTACACCTTTTTAGAGTCCCAAGCTATGGTGAAACAGATGTCTAGTGTGCTCTGATACACAATATTTCTCTAAACTTTGTCTGCTTGTGATAAGATCCCCTTTGATAATTAATAATAATAATAATTGCTTTATTTCAAAAACAGTACTCATGATACAGCAAGGAATTTTCAGCATTCAGTACAATATTGCATCTAATTTACTCAAAAACGACAAAAAAAATTAAAAATACACAATACATAATAGTAATAAAACGATTGTTATAGCAGCTACGTAGCAAAATACTGTGTGCCATACGGAGAAAAATATGTATAAAGTACAAAATTGTAGTAATAATAGTAATACCAACTAAAATAAAATAGCAGAGTAACGATTTAAACGATAGAAAGTGTGACACCATAAAATACAGAAAGATGAACGATAAAAGGGTCGATTCACTGTGCTAATTACATAGTAACTTGTAAGTTTCACGTCTAACAGAGTCTTCGTCACATAAAGTACGCGCTAAATAGGGTATTGTAGAATTTCTATACTTAGTAGTACGAGCATATATCTTTTTATATTGACTTCTCGTCCTACCTGATGAGATACAAGGGGACAGGTGTGAATAAAGGGGGTGCAGAGGGTCTGACATTATAGCCTTTGCCCATTTCGTACAGGAATTTATATGCCTCTCGACTATAGTATTAGCGAGCTCATGCAGTGGCAGACCACAAGCTCTACTCACAGCATTTAATACTCTTCGTAATATGATATAATCTTTTTTGAGAAGCCCAGGAAAGATTAATGGAGAGCAGTAGAGTACAATAGGTAAAATACAGGAGTTTAAAAATTGCAAAACTAAAGGTTGGTTGATACCTGATTGTCTTAACTTTTTAATGTAGAAGGTAAGACGAAACATTTTCTTAGAGATAGATAAGATGTAGGATGACCATGAAAGGTCAGAGGAAAAAACTAATCCAAGGTATTTAAACTTGATTTGGTTTCAATTTCCGTGCCATCTATGCTACAGGGATCATGCGAGTTAACTAGTTCAAGTAAGTCACGTCGATGCTTGAAAGTAAAGTCAAGCACCTGACATTTGGAAGGATTTAATATAAGACCATTTGACTTGGACCAGTTGTTGATGTCCAACAGAAAGCTATTAAGTTTGGAGCTGTCAGACTCGGAAGTGATAGGCAGTGATACAGTCAGATCATCTGCATATTTGACAAAGTTAGTTTCGTTTGAATGAGGCAGGTCATGTAGGAAGAAAGAAAAAAGAAAAGGAGAGAGGACAGCACCTTGTGGAACACCGGATTTTGTAAGCGAGGTAGAAGAAGATTTGCCGTTATATACAGTATACTGCATTCTATCAGAAAAATAGGAATGCAACCAACTCTTAGCCCAGGATCCTGTTTGTGTCAACGATAGCTTATTTAACAAAAGGCCCCTAGGTACAGAGTCAAAAGCAGATGTGTAGTCTAAGAAAGCACTACGAACATATTTAGCACCTTTGTCTAAACAAGAGACAACATTGTGATATAAGACAACCGCAGCATCCAAGGTACTTCT